ATACGAAAAGCAGAGCGAGAAAGCTGCAGAATGGTCAAATACTGCGGCGCAAAGACTGCACAAGACGCGGTCGACGCAGACCAGTGGGACTGTTACGGTTTGTAATCCCCCTCCCTCTCAAGGCCAACGTGAGAATATGTGTAACTAACTAGATGGGTTGTAGCTACTACTCAGTTTCCTCACCTCCACGGCCCTCCTCATCGTGCCTAGTCTCGCATCTACAAAAGTGCTTGTTGGGGCTGGTGCGGCAAATGCGGCGGCTGCGTACCTCGCGAGGGTACACATGAACAATTTCTGGAACGACAAGAATCAGACGAAAATCCCGTTTGTCGAGAAGTTCAACGAAGCGATAAGGGGTAGTGAGCTCGTGGTGTTATTGCTGGGTACATTGAGCCTGGGATGGGCGGCAGCAGGAGGCGTATGGGCGGGCATGGCGAACGGTGGCTCCGGAATACTGGGCCTGGGTGTTTGGGGGCTGGTTGTGGGTGGCAGGGTCATGTCGATTGCGCCGCAGATGGGGTGGACCAGTACCCAGTCTTAGAGAGAGCAACGCAGGGTTTGTCTATGGTAACTTCATATATACACGGGTATCTTAGACTGTGAATCACGATTTCATGTCTTCCATCTCACTCATCTCGCGCACCAGCCGCACACTATCCGCTTCTCTGACCCAGTCTTCGATCCTTGCACCAACGTCTCCTACTAGCTTCTCATATGTCTCGTTGATGAAGAACAGCGAGGTATGTGCTGTCACCTCGTCCATGTTCTCCATGAAGACGCGTATCCATGTAGGGTCCTTGTTGCCATCCGCATCTTTTGGTGGTAGCATGCAGAATTTCTTGAGCTTTTTAGGTTTGGTGGGCGCGCTTTCTTCCGACTCAGTCTTTGGTCGATGACTATTCTGGCTGTCCATTGTGGAAAGGGTGTAGGAGGAGTCGGCGCGGCCGTCTGGTGTATCCTGACGCATGATTCCGCTACGGGAGAACTGGTAGTTGGCGTATGGATGCTGGGGGTTGTGTTGAGCTGGTTCGTCGTCTCCCAGTTCAATGGCACCAATGTCCTCTTCCAGGTCAGTCGTAGCACGTTTTGGTTCGGCTTTGTCTTCTGCGGGTATCTTCCCATCGCGCAAATCTGCCTCTCGTTGCCTTTGCCGCGCTTCTTCTTCCCTCTGCTCTGCCTCCGCTTGCCGCTGTTCTCTTTCTTTCTGCCTTTGCCTGTCCTCTGCTGACATGTTGTTTGCCTCTTCAGCCTTCTTTAGCTCTTCCTTCTCCTGCTCCTTCTTTGCTTTCTCCCGCTCTTCTTGCCTCTTCTTCTCTTCCTTCTCTCGGTCCTTCTTCTCTTTCGCTTTTTCCTTTTCCCATTTCTCTTCCATCTTGGTCCGTTCATTGATCGTCTTGTTGCGTGTCTTGACAGCTTTCTGATATACTTTAAGAGCCTGGTCGTACTCCTTCTCTGCAGCTTTGCGTTGGGCCTTGTCGGAGAATTGCATCAGATCAACAAATGGTGGCTCTTGCGGGATAGGCGGGATCTCTGGTAAATTCGGAGGACCGCTGTCTTCGCGCGCTGATTCCTCAGAAGTTTGAGGTGCTACAGGGCTGGTAGCCGAGAGGAGGTCTTGAGGGCTGACAGGCACGACACCGTCCTCTCGATGCTCTTGGACTTTAATGGATAGCGGTGGAGAATCTACCATGGGTTCAGGATGCACGTGTGTCATCTCTGGTTCGGACGATGTGACCGATGAACTTCTCGACCTTTCTTGTTCCTCTGTTTGAGCAGGCATATGTCGCGATGCCTCACTCGAGGCACTCATGTTGCTGTCCTGATGCTGTAGTTGCTGGTTGGAGGAGCGGGATGGGGATGGTGATTTTGGAGAAGGCGACTTGGGAGATTTCGGCTTCTTGGGTCTCCCGGTGCTTGCAGTGTAGTAGTTGACAAATCGTACGCGAGGTACTGTGCGCCCTTGGCCAAACCCAGATCTCCTCTTGCTTTCGTCGTCTTCTTCAAGCGCGCGCACCCTTGCGTATCTATTCTTCAATTCCTTGTAGTCGGCCATTGCGCTACCAAACTCGAAATGAGACTTGACGAGACCTTTAGTGGCTTCTTTCAAGCCGTCTTTGTAGTGTTTGGTAAGCCAGTGTAGGCTGTTTTCCCAGCCCTTCCGATTTGGCAGATTCACATCATTTGGGAATGCCGGGTTGTAGTTGGGATCCGTAGGCTTTGGGTTGAAGATTGTACTCATTCTACTGGGCCTCTTTCCAACGTCGGCGTCTTGCACAATTGCGTCCTGTGGCGTTGGCGGTGAACTGAAGATGCTGCCTAGTCCAGCTTTGATAATTCCAGGATGCATGCCCAGGAACGGAACATCGAAATTCACGATGCCAACGATGCGATGGCGGAAAACTAGCGCGATGTCTGCAGCGAGCAAGCCACCCATGGAATGACCGAGCAAGACAACGTCGGTCCATTGATCCTCGTGTGGAGCTAGCCTGACAGCTGTCAGTCCTGAGCATGTTGATGGGTGAGAGAAGCGAACCATCTCGAGAAATTGTCTCTCGCAATCTCAAGCGAATCCCTGGACTTGTATCTGGGATAGATTTTTGTGTGGACGACGTGGGTTTCGGCGAGCGTGATAGTTACAAGATTGTGCACGTGGGCTGGGAAGCTTCTAAAACTTGTTTCGTTGCCCATGAAGCCATGAATGAAGACGAGCATTAGGCGCCGTCGCCCGGTGTCTCCCTGCGAGGGATCTGGAACGAGCGACTGCGTTGAAGAGGAGCGCGGGTCTTGCGACGACATGCCCATGACGGAGTAGGGTGGAGGCGCATCACTTGTTGAAGAGTCTCGGGGAGGAAGAGGTGGTGGGCGTCTTTGGTGCTTTTGGGGGTCCATTGCTTGACTTGTTGGCGACGTCATTGTTGGGTGTTGGTGCACCTGTTACGACACGGGCGACACGCATGGGAAGAGGCACGAATTATATAACCAGTGTCTTGAAAACTGGGAAGTGTTTGCGAGGCTTGGAAGGCGCGCAGTACAGAGGGGCAATGTGGGGTAAAACGCGACAACTCATACGCAGGTCCGATACGAGGGACGGCGTATTCGCTCGCCACTCGCGTATTCACCTATACGCATGCTCAACAAGTAGGTACAACGAATAGACACGCGCTAGAAAACCAAGACTGGGTGGTTCGACACTTTGCACCGTCGGTTTGCTGAAAGTCAACCAGACAAGACGTGCGCAACGCGATGTAGTAGTCCACAAGCGGCAGGCAGTCGTATGTAGTTGGGCGTGTGGAACCCGATGAGACGCACGCTTTCCCAGCGGAGACAAAGACTTAGAAAGCAGCAAGGGACCGAACCGCGGAATCTGGCGCGCCGCCGATCACCCCTTTGGTTATATATTACATATATATTCTATATGTTTGTGTTTCGAAGTCGCGCTCGTGTCAGAGGATATTTGAAGTTCCGTGTTAAGGTGCATGACTCGTGCGTATAGAGCTGATCACTCAGGCCTTGTCGTTTAGGTTTGCTAAGGTCTGTGAAGCTATATGACGAATAGTCATGCACCGCAGAGTGGCACATCTCACAAGTCATGAGGAATGAGGCATGCTGAAGGGCAGGTCTGGATCAGGAGGGTAATGTCATACGGCGTGGATGGCCTCGTTCTTTGTTCGGCGTGGTTCATGCGCTGTTGTTTGTTGACGCGATAGGCCAGGGGCTCCAGACAAACATACTAGACAGTGGCGCGTTCCAGAGAGGAAGCTCGTGATGTTGGTGGTGAACTATGAAGGCCACCCTAGCGAACAATGAACACTACTCGGGCTTGGCAATACGCCAGCCAGCAGACACGGGCCGGCGGTGGTGGAAAGGGCACGACGGCAGATTGCAGCAAGCGAGTCCCCCAAGGCGACGAGCACGAGTCGGCGATGCTTGTGCGACAGTAGCAATGGCAGGTGCGACAACCCAAGGGCGGCAACTAAGAATAACACCTTAGCAGACTTTGCAGCGTGGGCCATGGCCCTGCATGCTCCGTTCCAGAATGCGGTACCTGAAAGGCCGTCGCTGGATGGTGTGGCGCCACTGCAGGTGCAAGCGGGACGGCTAGTTAGCAGCCCCTTTGGACCATGGTACGCCAATTCTCCGAAGTCATACTGCCGAAGAGTGAAGCTCGACGACGCGCGACGGGTGGGCGAGGACGAGATTAAGCAAGAGATTGCCGTCGTCACCAGTCGTCATGGCAGCGAAGATCGCAGCGCTGCTGAGGGCGTGTGGTGATATCGTATGCCGGTGGGGCCTGCTATTCCTGGACATATCATCTCGGTTGCGGGCCAATCAGTCCCACAGGGCCCGTGCCAACGGCCGACGGACCCCAAACGGTTTCTCGTCTCCTCGCTGCATCTGGCTGGGCTGGAGCGTCGGCGTGCGCTGTGAAAGTGTCTGTGTCTGCTCCTTGTGTCCCGATCGCTCTCTCCCACGACGCTTCCGCCGCGACGTCGACAATTCCACGGACCCAGCGCTACCACGGCCAAGGGACCCTCAGGACAGCAGCTGTTGGAGCCGCCGTCGCGCGACACCCACACCACGTCTGGCCCACCCCGTTGCACGATACACGACGCTAGAAATTGCGTCCGCCCATAGTTCCCCATAACCACCCCGTCTGCCCCCTCAACCGCGCGACCGTCGCGAAGCAAATGCTGGCCTATTGATCGCCTTCACGTAGGTCCTCCTCGCAATTCATCCTCCTGACATGTGAGTGCTGATCGTTGCCGCCTCCAGACCATCCCTCAGTCAGTCACCTGGCGTCCATTCTTTTGCCGACATTCACTCGCTCCCACCCAAACCCACTCCATTGACTGGACTCCCTGCATCGGCTGAAGCCCGTACGTCCGCTCATTCGCAACACCGTCCCTACAACACATGTACCGCCAAACCGCGCACCTCGCCACCGATACTCTGGAAGCATCGCCCTAGTCCGTATTGCCTGGACCCGTCTCTAGACCTTTATGGACCCCGTTGCAACACCTCCCAGGATATCCAGAGTTGATTCGCGCTACCGTCACCGAGCGCAAAACGTCCCGCCCCAGAGCGAACCTGTGCCGCAATCTGAAGAGAAAGAGGAGGAATCAAGCCAGGAGGACCTTATCCCTGAACTGAGAGCCAGAGACAGCATGAGCAGAGGCCATCGCTTCTTTCACCGTCGTGCTGCGCTAGGCAACACGAAGGTTGTCACTGTCGCCGTCGAAGTAGTCGGGACTGTCGATACGAGCGGAAGTTTCATCCCTCAGGAGACTATGGCGCCCGTCACACCTCAGTCCCCAGATGCACCTGCACTACCGACTGCTGCAGCAGTCGCAGCGCCTTCACCCGCACCAGCGCCCTCGGTAGCTCCCGCGGCGCAGCAACCATTGCCCTCCGCTCCCTCACCCGGTATTCCAGCAGTACCAGCAGTACCTACAGTTGCGGCTCCTGTGCTTCCATCCGTCCCAGCAGTCCCACCTTTCCCAAGTGACCTCGTGGTTCCGACCGTTCCTGCGTACCCATACTCTACAGGCGGCCAAGTCCCGGTCACCTCCGACTTGAGCGCATCTCCAATTCCAACTGGTGGCCCTGTGAGCATTGCGACTCCATCTGCAGCCCCTGTGCCGCTATCAGATGTTAGTTTTATCTTGAACTCGACCGCATCTAGTAAGCCAGACGATACTGCCAACATGATCAAGTCTAACATTTCCAGGCACTGCTTCCTTGTTCTCATCTTCTTCATTCATCTCTCTTGACAGCATCTCGGCGTCAACTGCGACTGACCTGATTGCGACCATCGCAGACGCTCCGACTCGTTCGACATCTTCATCGGCATCGCAATTCACGTCCTCGTCCGACGCACCGTCATCTTCTCAAACTTCAGCAGAATCTGCTTTCACTAGCAGTGCCGTCATCTCCTCGGATGCTGCGTCAACAACAGCATACTATGGTGGTGCCGGTGGGGACGCGTCTGGAACGGCGGCTGCCCCTGCTGCCACCACAGCAGGCATCTCAGATGCTGATGCCGACACCGCTCCTTCTCCACTTGAAACCCCACAGGTCGTCGGAAGTGTAGTGGGCAGTTTGGCAGGCGCTGCGCTCATTCTCGCCATAATACTGCTGCTGCTTAGACGTCACAAGCGGAAGCAGGGCGGTGCTTTACAACTCACTGGCGACGATCACACCGATAACAACCAGTCGATGAGGCAAGCACCCACCACAGCTAGTACTTTGGCTCCTATCGCCTTCTTGAACCGTTTCTCTGGTTTGTCAGGCAAGACTGCGGAAACCAACCTCAGTGGTGGTGAACGCAGCTTTCAACGGGTGTCAGGGCGCAAGCTTCCTTCCGCCTTCAGCGAGGGCATGACATCAGATCAGTTCTCTCGTGGCGGCACAATGTCTGGATCTTCTTTCTACCAAGATGAACACGGCACATATGGCGGTCCCGGCATGTCAAAAGAGTTTGGCAAGGAGATTGGTGACAGCCCAACGAACCGAGAGTCAGGACCCATGAACATTCGACCCAGCCCAGCCAGGACACCAGTCATACGGCATCCTGATGATGGCAACCCCTTCTCGGACCGTAACTATCTCAGTCCGCCACAATCTCCAAATCCTGATGCCCCACCCAGAGGCACTCTTGGAAGAAGTCTGCCTTCGGCGGATGGATCCAGGTCATCTCGGTTTACAGAGAACGTTTGAATGATCTACTAGTCTTTTGTTGCCTTCTTACTCTCGCTCCAGCATCTGTTTTGCCTAACGACACGCATGAACGTGCGTATTGCTCACCTCGCATTGTACCCACCATCTCGCATCTCTTGTCGGTCTTGTCTTGTATACCCCAGGATCCGCTCGACAGGTTCCACTACTCACCACATACTGTCCTTAATCCGGCCGCAATCTGGCGGCCCAGAACTAATGTCTTGTCGGCTTCCTTTACTGTTTGTTGTCATACTATAGTCGTTTTCAGTTCCATTCTTCACGATACTGCCGGATCGGGAACGGTACCTAGTTTCATACCCCTGGTTGTTGCTCTCAAGGAGAAATCCCTGGGTCTAGACCATTTGTTTATATCGGCTCTGTGGTCCGTGTATATATTCTACGCTGTGCTTCCTTGAAGCCGGCCTCGTGCATATGGTCGCTATGTTTGTCATGTATGTTGGGGCGCGAGGGCAATCGGACTAGAGGTCTCGACTATAGGGTTGGCGGAGTTCATAGTGGTCTCTCCCAATGCTCAAAAGTTTGGTCTTACAAAATCACAGCCTAAGCTGCGTGCACCTCATTGATTCAGTGATGCATTGAGTAAGTATGCATGCTGCTTACCACGTTTCTATTTCCAGCACAATACGCAATACTAGCACACATATGGCTGCAACATTTCCTGTCATAGCCGGCGCAGCCTGCACTACCGTTTCCTTAACACGGTCCATGTCATGTTCATCACCTCCGTGGTCTTTTGATAGGGTACTTGGCATCCTCATGACATCGTTCTCGGTTGGCCGGCCGCAGCTCAGCCCCACCCGTGCTTGCCTAACCGTAAGCACCGCCCCAAGATCGACGGTAGTACCGCCTAGCGTCACGTAAGGCTTCCCAGATGGACATGATTAAATGCCAATACCGACACCAGACTCATACCTATTGCTCTTACTATCTGACTCCCAGCACCAGAACGTCACTTTGACCTACCCGTGGACATTACCTACCATCTGCGCACCTATCCCTAACACCTGACGAGGAGCAACAGCAGCAGCAACAACCCCAACATCACCATCACCAGCCTCGCAACCCCCAAACACCAACGCAACCATGGCCCTCGCACCAGCCCCCCAGCCCATCGGCGTATTCCCGCAATTCTTCGCCGCAGGCCCCGAAACGCTCGTGATGAAAGAAAAAGTCATGTCCCTCAGCGGCGACAGCTTCAGCATCAAGCTCGCAAACGGCACGCCTGTGCTCAAAGTCGAAGGCAAAGTCATGAGCCTGACGGGCCGCAAGAAGATGTTCGATATGCAGGGTAACCACCTGTGCAGCATTGTCAAGGAGCATTTTCATATTCATTCGACGTATGTGGTTGAGAGTGCGGGGGGTGAGAAGATTATGGAGGTGAAGAGTAGTTTTAAACGTAAGTTATGGCGCTGTTTGTGGTGATGATGGGAGATGTACAAGAGAGGGATTTCGAAACGATGGGCATGCTTTATATTTGATTCCAAAATGTTGACTAGCTAACTCTTTCGACACAGTATTTGGAAGCAAAGCAACAGCGACATTCACGTCGCAAAACGGCAAGCAAGAAAGCCTCACTATGAAAGGCGACTTCTTCGATACCCAGGCTGATATCCTGGATGAGGCGCAAGGAGGTTCGTATCTCCCACTTCCCTTCCTTACTCACCTCTTACCTTACCAAACCCATCACACCCCCCCAGTCCCCATACTAACCCCTCCCCCACAGGCCTCGTCGTCGCCCGCATCGACCGCAAGCTCCTCAGCGGCAAAGACATATTCTTCGGGCAGCAAACCTACGGCGTGCAAATCGCACCGGGGGTCGACATGGCGCTCATCGCCGCACTGTGCATCTGCCTCGACGAGAAGAACAACGAGGGGTCATAGAATAACTCGAAGAGGAAACAAGTGCCGTATGTGTTTACTTTGGCAAACAAGGCGACCAAGGGGTGGAGTAGTACGTGGATGAATCAGGCGACTAAGGGGAGGAGTGGGACGTGGTGGGAGAGGGTGGAGGGCGTGGGGATGAGGAGGGGGACTTGGTGATGGAGAGGGGAGGTGTGGTGTTTGTTGTGTATACCCTTTGCGTGGAATTTTGATGTCTCTTTCTAGTCTATTAAACTGTTTCGTGGGGTTGATGTGTCTGATGATGAGAGAGGTTTATCGAAAGTTGACCTCTTCACGCGTCTCCGTGGGAGGATGACAGTGCCTGGAACACGTACAACTTGGTTGCAAATATCATAGAGCATCACCAGACCATACATGGCCTGATCACTGCGACTAAACGGCACGACTCCTGACTCACAGTCACGACAGGAGAACGAAGAATGAAGTATATAATCTTGATATTAAAGAGCGTCTTTAGTTGCTTATCACTCACTCATCTCCATCCCAGCATCTATACACAACAACACCTATAATTTCCCCCAGAAACCCCACAAAAAACAACAAAGGAGAGATCTAATAGGCCGAAGTACAGGCAATCGGGAAAAACATGGCTAAGTGACCACGTCCCGCAAAATATATGCTAGTAATGCAGTCTAACACGAAGCAGACGGAGAAAGCAACAGAATATAGAGAAAAGGATGGGAATAAACTCAGAGGCTACGCATGAAGAGATAACGGAGAACGCCTGCCCGATGTAATGCTATGCTTGACTTGGGAAAATTTATCACACCTTCTTCTGCAACAAAACTTTTGGCCGGCCTGGTTGTATGCTCACGTCTGCATCCGTTCCTTGTCCCAATCTTTTCGCGGAGGGGGTATATATGTCACTTGGCTTGACAATGGCGGGGCGCGGGAAGGGCCGGCTGCGAGGGTACTGCAGCAAGGTCGATGACGACCAAAGAATTAAAACACTGTCTGAACCGTGTGTTGGCGATCCAGCTACCATGGTCAATTACTTCGATCCAGCGAGCAATTCAGATCCCGGTACATTGTGGCCGAAATCTAAGATCAAAGTCCTGCCATCCTGGCTTGTAGCAACAACGCGTCTGTAGTCACTCTTGGCTGAGAGAATCCAGCTTGTTGTCCAGTTCTTGTAAACAGCATATGTTTGCCCAGTCTCATAATCCGAAACTTGTATACTCTGGTCGTACGAGCCAGACACGATGCGACCGTTGAAGGCGTCGAGGAACAGCGATCGTACAAGACCGTCGTGCTTAACTCTGCTGTGGACCAGCTCGCCGGTTGAAGCATCAAACTTGTACACGACGTGGTCGTTACCACCGGCGAGAACGTATTTTGCATCATCGGAAAATTCAACAGCGGCGAGACCACGGTCTTCGGACGGGAAGTCTTTGATTGAAACACCAGTCTCAAGGTTCCAGAGCTTAGCTACACCGTCGCCACTAGCGGAAACGAGGAAGTTGCCGCGTAGCTGAACGGCGTTGACGGGGCCTCTATGACCCTTGAGTGTGCGGACGCAGTTGCCAGTCTTACGATCCCAGACCTTGATCATGGCGTCCTTGGAGCAAGAGATGATGTACTTGTCATCGAGGCAAACGTCTAGGACACCAGCCTCATGGCCGCGGAGTCGGTACATGGGAACGTACTCATCGCCGGTGATGTCCCATACGATGCAGGTGTAGTCCGAGGATCCTGTTACCATGATCTCGCTATCGTACTGTAAGCAGAGAATGGAAGCGTCGTGGTAATCGGCAGGGACGGTGTATATCTCGTTGCCAACCTTGGTGCCGTTGAGCGAAGCGTGGCTGATGACTCGTTCCGGTCGCTCCTCCATGGGTGGGGGAGTGTTGGCTGTTGGCCGGTGGTTGGGTCCACCGTAGACCCTGATGCATTTGTAAGTTTTCAGGTCCCACACGCGGATAGTCCTGTCTCGGGAGCCGGTGATGGCCTTGTTCTCGTCAAACTGGCAGCAGTAGACGCTATCTGTGTGACCATTCAGGTAAATGGCAGCGGGTGTACCGGTCTTCCATCGCCCGTCGATTGTGCTCCGCGCCCTGAACATCTGCTTCCAGTCCTGGGCTGGTGCTGGGTTGCCGCCTGCCATCTTGCCAGTGCCCAAGCCGCCCATCTGGATAGGCGCAGGGGAGACGTGCACTTCGGGTTCGTGTTTGCGGAGGAAGACGTTCCGCCAGACGTGCGGCGACGAGGCGTGTTCGTTCCAGCTGCGCGAGACGCGCTCGGCCCGTACGAGAGAAGCGGCATCGAGGTTTGACAGAACGGTGGTGGCGAGCTCGGCAGGAAGGCGTTGGAAGGGATCGACTGTGACACTGTTAGCGTGGCCCCAATGACTGGTGTTTGCCAACTCACTCATCTTCTTCTCCGTGACACTGTCGGCGCGGACAATGGGAGAAGCACATGTCATGTCCACACCGCTCTCGTTGTCCTTGATGTCGTCATCACGCATGGAGGTGGTGATGAGGCCATTGAGAAAGCGGTGGGTGTGTTCCTGCTCGCGGCGTAGCTGGTTCTGGCGATCCTGGTTTGCGGCGGCTGCTGCTTGTCGGGCGGCGGCGCCTGGTACGGACTGGCTGGGGTAGGAGACGGCGGGCGTGAAAAGGGTTTTGGTGATGTCTGTCGATGGCCCCGAAGCTGTAGGGCGGCGTCGCATGCTACTCAGTCGCTTGAAGGGAGCAAAAGCCTTTGAGCTAGTGCTCTGTGGTTGCAGTTGAAAAGTGGGAATGCCAGAGTCTTGGTGTTGCAGGGGCATTCGCTGTTGATCCATGGTAGACTTCTGGCTAGTGCTCGAAGAGGGCAGCGACTCGAATAAGGAATGAATGGAGCCGCGGCGACGCTGTGCAGGTGTGGCGGACGACACGGACGACATGCGCCGGCGCGTCTTTTGGCGGGTGAAACTACCAGCGACTGCACCAAACGCGCGGGAGAAGGAGCTGGCCTGTGAATGCTGCGACAGGCCGTCGGCGTGCATGGTGGCTTCGTTGACGGCGTCCAACATGTTGGTGTCCTTGACGTCGTGTTGGTAGTGGGTAGGGAATGTCTGCGAGATGGTGCGCTTCATC